CTTTGTATTGGACTGATGAAGCCACTGTGTGGCGAAACGTTTCCTGAATAAAGATTCCTATATGCTGCATAAGTGTCTCAATCTTCAGAATTGAAGGAGATGGACTAACGTTCTGAGACGTCCCAAATTTCTGATCCACTTACCTGTTTGTGTATGCAAGTAGTAGGATATAACCCCTCATCATTGCAGTGGAAAAAAGCCTGCTTTCCTGTCATCTGGACGGATTATTGACGGCTAGAAAATCTGTGAAGAACGAGCCCTGGGTTTGTCACCACACCTGCGGACGCCCCCCCCCCCATCAATCAGCAACGGCTAAAAACTATTTCACCAACACGCAGTTCACACCAACATCCAACACCCAAGTTTTTATTATATACATATTACGTTGAATTTCAGTTATTTTTTGGTCAATTTAAATAATATTTTACAGTATTTCAATTTCTTAATTTAGGCTTAATATTTCATATTTTAAAGTGTTTTAATATATTTATATTTTCTATATAATAAAGTTTATGTTTGTTATTGTTTCCTTTTCTATTCATTAACTTTTCCTGAGCGGAGCCAGCTTGGTAAATACTGTCCTGAAGTTGTTACAGGCTGAGTAAGTCTTCACAAGAGGCAACCTTGCCAGGATCAACTCGACTGAATCAAGATTCAACTCCATCTCGAATCTACCATTGGAACTTCAACGCCGCATACCACAGACGGTTACCACCAGCCATGAGTAATCATTCTCTATGGTAGGACTACAGTACAGGTATTTAAAAGATTTGGTGATTGTTATAGTCTCAATTTATTGTAAGTCAAGTCAGGCAGGATATAATATTTAATTCTGCCACTTTTTTGTTCGAGCTTGAAACACTTTGGAGGATTAGACTCTAGGGACCCGAGATTTTCCAGTGACAATTTGTTTCATTGAGCTCTTTATTGTATCAAGGGAACTGTCGTAGGACACTCTTGATTTGTTGGTGAGAAGATTGGATGGTCAAGTGACCCCATTCTACTTACTGTTTGCTCAGAGCCGGCATAGATCCCTTTGTTTTCATTAATACATATTGTTTAATTGAAGCAGGGATCGAGCCCTCTGGTTTATTTACCGTTTGAGCGGAGCAGGAATTGAACCCTCAGTTTTCTTTGAGACCCGTTTCATTTTCCCCCTGGTAGTTTAAGTTCTTGCAAGTATGGAGGAATACCAGTTTTGGATGAACGCTGGAAGTAAGTTAGGAATAACAGGGAAAAATTTAGAATCTTTCATTAGTGCTAAGATCCAGGAAAGAATTGAAAGAGAAAATTGAGAGAAGAGAGACAGTTAGAAAGGGAAAGACAGGAGAAAAAGGAGAGAGAGAGAATTGAAAGAGAAAGCAAAGAAAGGCAGTTGGAAAGAGAGCGAGAAGACAAAAAAGAGCGTGATAGACTTGATCATGAGGAAAAAGCTAGAGAACGTGAGGAACAAGCTAAAATACGTGAGGAACAAGCTAAGATACGTGAGGAACAAGTTAAATTAAGAGAACTTGAGGAAAGAGCAAAGGATAGAGAACATGAGTTAATAGAGAGAGAAAAGGATCGCAAGCTCGAAAAATCTTGCCTTGAATTAGAGAATAAAAAGTTAACTTTTACACAACAACAATTAGAGGAAGGAGTAATTGAACATCATGCAGCTAGTGCACATATTCCAACACCTAATTTACCTCCCTTCACAGAGGGTGAAGACATAACTTCATACATTATCAGGTTTGAAAATACCGCTACCCTCTGTGAATGGCCTGCTGACACCTGGGCTACTAGGTTAGGAATGTTATTTTCTGGTACAGCTTTGAATATCTATGCAACTTTGTCGCAGGATATTATATGTAATTATAACTTACTGAAGAAGGCAATCCTTAAAGCATATCAAAAAAACACTAATTCTTACAGGAAAGATTTCAGGTATGCCACCTTACAGCCTGGCCAGAACTTTCAGCAGTTACACGTAACACTTTTTCGTTTTGTAGACTTTTGGATGAGAGTCAGGAATTGATCACAGTTATGAATCTCTTAGAGACTTCATGGTTGCTGACCATTCATGACAAGCTCTTCCCCATCAGATACGAACATTCATCAGAGAACGTAACCTGATTAAAGCTGAGGAAGTTGCTGAGGCTGCTGACCTGTATGCTGAGGCTAACAATTCCTATAAAGACCTAAAGGGATCGAACCCTAAGGGCAAGGGTTCATCAGACCTTAAGAAATCAAAGCCTCTAGTGGAAAGTAAAATGACTTCTTTTATTCCTGTTTGTCATTTGTGTGGTGTTAAGGGACATAAACGTCCAGATTGTCCTTCTAAGAAGGTCCAAAAAGTTGGAAGATGTTTTAAAGACTGTAATGACCAAGCACCCTTCTGTTCAGGAACAGTTAATGGACTTAATGTATCTACCATTTTACGAGACACTGGATGCACATGTATAGTCATTTCTGATAAGCTGTTCCCTAACCTTAAAGAAACTCATTCTTCTGCTATACTTTCAGACTACTTGGGCCGTACAGACACTTTTCCTACCATCCATTGTTACATTAGGTCTAAATGATTCACAGGTTGGTCTGAAGCGGTACTAGCTCCCATCACTTCTTGCTCCGTTCTAATAGGTAATGTAAAAGGTGCCATTCTTCCTTCTTTCATCACCAAAGGTGGAGATAAGCTTTTCAGATCCTCTTCCTGTAGAGTCAGAGAAGCCCCTCGAAAGTTCAGTTGAGACAATGTCTCGCGAGATTCATGTGGGATTAAAAACCAGTGATGCTACTCTCGAAAGCGAGGTAGTAGGATCACCGGTTCACTTGTTAGATGAAAGTGAAGATATCACCTCCAATACCATAAATGTCTTGACTAGGGCTCAGACCAAAGCCCATGCTTCCCCTACTGTCCATCCTTTGATTTTCCCTGACTTTAAGCTTTTAGACATATTGAAGGACTCCTTTGTCAATTTACAACGTAATTGCCCTTCTCTTCAGAATCGCCATAATGCCGCTAAACAAAATCAAGTGATCCAAAGGAAAAACTTTTCATATAAATTTGAATATATAAAAGGTATCTTGTACAAGTCAGTATTCAAATTAAATTCAGATGAGATAGACTATTCCATCTAAGTTGTTCCAAGTCAATGCAGAGAGACTGTTCTTAAAATGGCTCATGACCTGCCAGTGGCCGGACATTTCTCGCATCGTAAAACCTTAAATAAAATTAGGGAAACCTATTTTTGGCCAAAAATATCCTCAAATGTCACCCACACCAGTGGGTCACATCCACTTGTGGGTCACAAGTATGGATTTTACTGATTGGTGAACATAGACAACCGGTGTAAGGAAACACGTCCAATGTTTCCACCCCTGTGCCGCGAATCGAACCCGGACCCTCACCGTGTGAAGCGAGAGCTTTTGCCACCAGGCCACATGGCTCTGTGCTACCACTACAACTATCATTATAAAGATAGGATAGGGATCTTATTTGTCCCAGATTCAATGGAACAATCCCAGTTTTAATGGAACAGTCCCAGTTTTAATGGGACAGTCCCAGTTTTAATGGGACAGTCCCAGTTTTAATGGGGAAGTGAGTCAACTGTTTTTTATGGGTTTATGGTAGCCTAAGTAAGTTTTATAAGGTGTCCTGGTTTATGATTTAACAAAAATGTTATAGAATAGGTTTTCTAAACAAGGGATACTTGTTTTAAACAAGGGTCACCCCTTGTGTGTTTTAACCCTTTCAGGGTCGGCAGGCCCTCTCCTAAACTTGTCAGGGTCGGAAATTTTTTTGAAAAAAAAAAAAAAAAAAAAAAAAAAAAAAAAAAAAAAAAAAAAAGATTTCTTCTTGTGAAATGATAGAGAATCTTTTCCCTATCATAATGACACCAAAAGTATAAAATTTGATAGAAAACTTACAGAATTATGCTCTCGCGAAGTTAGTGGTCTCAACAATGTTTACGCTTTGGCGATTTCGCCCACTTTGAGCCCTGTTTTCGACCAATTCCAATGTACCAGTCGACAAAAATCATAACTATTTCGCTAGAACTCCATTTTTTCTATCAAACGAGCACAAGAAGCTACCCATTTACCGATTTCAACTATCCAATAAAGTGGTCAGAAATTGGCAATTTTGCCAAGTTCACACAAATTTCAGAAGATGCCAATTTCCAAATAGCGTCCAGAATAAACAAGACAGACATTCCTGGCACTAAAATAACATTTCCTCTGTTCATTAGTCACATCCCCAGGCCTCTGTTACATTTCTTTTGCTTTCCACTTTGAATTTTTATTCTCACAAAAAATGGAAGATTTACTGTTATGCAGACTACTGCATTAGTGTAGAAATGGTATAAATAATATCAGCGCACTTGTGAAAGAATATTAGACTCACCAGTTGACGTGTATTGGACGCATGGAATGATTTGTTTACTTTTGAACTTTGGCAAAAAATCGAACATTTCTGCTACTTTGTGCTCAATTTCAAGGCACTTTTCATTGTGAAACCAATCAAAATCATCTCAGTTTCCGTAATATGTCTTTCATTCTGTAAAATGAGACCAGGAAAACTAGAATGCAACCATAAATATCATACAAAAATGCAGTGCAAAGTCACTGTTTTAAACCAAAAACACTGTGAGAGTTTTTTTTTCTTATTATGCACTGTGTGCTGCAGGATTTTTTTTATACTGTGCACACTGACCATATAGACCCATTCTTTCATATGTAGGCCTACCAGCTTTCTCTCACTACATTTGAAGGTGCTAGAATTTGAGTACTAGTACGGCACCAACCCTGGCGTGCAAGCCAGGGTTTGTGCCATACTAGTACTAGGGTTAAACATACTAGGGTTAAACATACTAGGGTTAAACAAGGTAGACCCATGTTTCAAACAAGGGATACCACCAGCTTTAAACAAGGAATACCTGTTTTACACAAGGGACACTCACTTTAACAACTCAAAATTCTCTACATACCACAAGGATTTGAAAAAATTCTCTCTACAAACATTGTACGGTTTTCTTTTATTTTTTATAAATTTGTAAACAAACACACGTACTTGTAACATATCCTTCATGTACTGTATACTGTAACATCTGTGCACCATTAATGTTGTCACTCTTCCTGCGGTTGTTTTGCCAGGCCAATGAACGACCTGACCCCCTACCTAGGATTATCTTCAAAACAATGGTGTCACAACAGTTGTTGTCATCATCGCAGTTGTTTTAGGTCAGTAAATGACCTGATCACATTGTACGATCTTGAAAACAATGGTATCAAAGCAGTTGTTGTCACTCTCCTCGCAGCTGTTTTACGAGGTCGGTAAATGACCTGACCCTATCATATTCTACCTTACCCGTCCACCTGTGTGAGGAAAATGTAATTAATACTTTTTTAAATTCACTGGTTGTCTCCCACCAAGGTAGCTAACCCAAAGAAGAAGAAACACATTCATCATCATTCATTCAATAGCTGTATTGCCAGAAGTGTTATGAGCTCAGAAGGATGAGTGAGGATGTTACAGTACTGGAGGTGGGAAGTACAGTACCTGTACTCTGAAGGATGAGTGAGGATGTTACAGTTCTGGAGGTGGGAAGTACAGTACCTGTACTCTGAAGGATGAGTGAGGATGTTACAGTTCTGGAGGTGGGAAGTACAGTACCTGTACTCTGAAGGATGAGTGAGGATGTTACAGTACTGGAGGTGGGAAGTACAGTACCTGTACTCTGAAGGATGAGTGAGGATGTTACAGTACTGGAGGTGGGAAGTACAGTACCTGTACTCTGAAGGATGAGTGAGGATGTTACAGTTCTGGAGGTGGGAAGTACAGTATCTGTACTCTGAAGGATGAGTGAGGATGTTACAGTACTGGAGGTGGGAAGTACAGTACCTGTACTCTGAAGGATGAGTGAGGATGTTACAGTACTGGAGGTGGGAAGTACAGTACCTGTACTCTGAAGGATGAGTGAGGATGTTACAGTTCTGGAGGTGGGAAGTACAGTACCTGTACTCTGAAGGATGAGTGAGGATGTTACAGTACTGGAGGTGGGAAGTACAGTACTGTACTCTGAAGGATGAGTGAGGATGTTACAGTACTGGAGGTGGGAAGTACAGTACCTGTACTCTGAAGGATGAGTGAGGATGTTACAGTACTGGAGGTGGGAAGTACAGTACCTGTACTCTGAAGGATGAGTGAGGATGTTACAGTACTGGAGGTGGGAAGTACAGTACCTGTACTCTGAAGGATGAGTGAGGATGTTACAGTTCTGGAGGTGGGAAGTACAGTACCTGTACTCCTGAAGGATGAGTGAGGATGTTACAGTACTGGAGGTGGGAAGTACAGTACCTGTACTCTGAAGGATGAGTGAGGATGTTACAGTACTGGAGGTGGGAAGTACAGTACCTGTACTCTGAAGGATGAGTGAGGATGTTACAGTTCTGGAGGTGGGAAGTACAGTACCTGTAATATGAAGGATGAGTGAGGATGTTACAGTACTGGAGGTGGGAAGTACAGTACCTGTACTCTGAAGGATGAGTGAGGATGTTACAGTACTGGAGGTGGGAAGTACAGTACCTGTACTCTGAAGGATGAGTGAGGATGTTACAGTACTGGAGGTGGGAAGTACAGTACCTGTACTCTGAAGGATGAGTGAGGATGTTACAGTTCTGGAGGTGGGAAGTACAGTACTTGTACTCTGAAGGATGAGTGAGGATGTTACAGTTCTGGAGGTGGGAAGTACAGTACTTGTACTCTGAAGGATGAGTGAGGATGTTACAGTTCTGGAGGTGGGAAGTACAGTACTGTACTCTGAAGGATGAGTGAGGATGTTACAGTACTGGAGGTGGGAAGTACAGTACCTGTACTCTGAAGGATGAGTGAGGATGTTACAGTACTGGAGGTGGGAAGTACAGTACCTGTACTCTGAAGGATGAGTGAGGATGTTACAGTTCTGGAGGTGGGAAGTACAGTACCTGTACTCTGAAGGATGAGTGAGGGTGTTACAGTTCTGGTGGTGGGAAGTACAGTACCTGTACTCTGAAGGATGAGTGAGGATGTTACAGTACTGGAGGTGGGAAGTACAGTACTTGTACTCTGAAGGATGAGTGAGGATGTTACAGTTCTGGAGGTGGGAAGTACAGTACCTGTACTCTGAAGGATGAGTGAGGGTGTTACAGTTCTGGTGGTGGGAAGTACAGTACCTGTACTCTGAAGGATGAGTGAGGATGTTACAGTTCTGGAGGTGGGAAGTACAGTACTTGTACTCTATAGGATAAGTGAGAATGATACACTTTAGACAACTCCTTGAATCATATCTATTCACCTCTGGGAAGTGACTAAGAGAATAAATAATGGTGAATATGTTTACTTCTACGGCTTAACCTCCGCTGCTGACAATCCATACAAACAATAAAAGTACGACTCACAAAACTGTATAAACATGTAATGATACAACAGGTGGTCCTTGACTTACAATGGGGCTATGTTCTGACGAACTCATCCTCAGTTGAAAATTCTGTAAATCGAAGACGTATATGACATGCTAAATAGATAATTTACTACCATCACTGAATAAGTAAATAAACAAATAATTACTGTAACTATATGTACCAGTATTGAAAAATAAATGAACACAAGTTACAGACTATCAATAAATATACAGTATAAAATATGCACCACTATCACACCTTTGTGAAGTCAAAATATTTTAAGCTGAACCACTCTACAGTGAACCCCCGGTTATCAGCCAACTCGGTTATCAGCGGGGTTTTTGGCGCCCAGTTATCAGCTGTTCGCTCGGTTATCGGCAGTTTTTACACGTCCATCCGCCGGCTGGGGCAGCTTGTGCTTCAGTTTGGCTTTGTCTCTCGGTGGCTGAGGAAGCTTCTGCTCATACATCCAAACATTTCACTTGTTTACCATTGTTTTTAGTGGTTTTCTTGCAGTGCAACTGTGAAATAAGTAACCATGGCTCCAAAGAAAGTTCCACTGAAGAGCTGCAAGAGCTTCAACTTGAACAGCAACAGATTGCAGCTGAGGAACTTGCTTCAGAGGAGGAGGAAGAGAGAGTGAAGGAGGTGCCTTCTTCAGAGATTAAATTATTATTATTATTATAATCAAAAAGAAGCGCTAAGCCACAAGGGCTATACAGCGCTGCAGGGTAGGGAAGGAAGCGAGGGTATTGGATGGCAGAAGGGAGGAGGGATGATCTGCAGGTTACAGAGAACAGCGGGGCAGGGGATAGTGCGGGGGTAGAGGGTAGCAAGAGATTGAAGTAGAAAGGGCTGAAGGTATCAGAATTTGTGAAGTAAGTCAGTTGTTGTCAAAAAGTCAATGAGAGAGTCTGGATGAAAGGTGGGTCCATCAGCGAGAAGGGAAGGTAAAGAGAGAGCAGCAGAGCGAAGATGACGACGGAGGTAAATTCTGCGTGCTCGTTGATAAAGTGGGCAGTCCAACAGAATGTGGCTGACTGATAATGGAGCTTGGCAATTCTCACAGAGAGGAGCAGGGCGCCTCTCCATGAGATATCCATGAGTAAGACGAGTATGGCCAATGCGAAGACGGGAGAGAGTAGTCTCCCAACCTCGACACTGGTGATAAGAAGACAGCCAGTAACCTATACTTGGTTTAATAGATTGAAGTTTGTTGCCGAGCATGGTAGACCAACGGTGTTGCCAACGGGTGTGAAGGTGGGAAGATATTGCAGCAAAATAGTCCGTAAATGGAATACCTCTATACGAAACTGGTAGGTCATGTACTGCTGACTGTGCAGCAGTGTCTGCCTGTTCATTGCCCTGTATGTCAACATGACCAGGGACCCAACAAAAAACAATATCTTTATGCTTGGTAAAGATGCGGCGTAGCCAAAGTTGGATACGGAGGACTAAGGGGTAAGGTGTATCAAATTTCTGTATAGCCTGTAAAGCACTAAGGGAGTCTGAGACAGCCACAAATGATGACACAGGCATAGATGCAATACGGATAAGTGCTGCAAGGACGGCATACAATTCAGCAGTAAAAATACTAGCCAAAGATAGTAAATGCCCTCGTACGACGCTGTCCGGAAACACTGCTGCGAATCCTACGCCGTCAGAAGACTTAGAGCCATCTGTGTACACAGCAATGGCATGAGAATGAGAGTGAAAGTGGTCAAGAAAAAGAGAGTGGGAAGCGACCGTAAACAGTTGGGCTTTCGAGCAAGGGAGAAAGAACAGATTCGAACAGCTGGAACTTCCCAGGGGGGTAGGGAAAAGTGAGATGCTACATGAACATAGAAAGGTGGTAATTGAAGAGAAGACAAGAGCGAATGAAGGTGAAGAGAGAAGGGACAGAGTAAACAGGGGCGGCGAACAAATAAAGAATGTCTACTAATATCAGTGACCATTCTATAAATGGAAGGATTGCAGAGATCATGAGAGCGTACATAGTAGCGAAGGCAATGGACATCATGGCGATCGGATAAGGATGGAAAGTTCGCTTCTGCATAGAGGCTCTCGACAGGGGAAGAGCGAAAAGCACCAAGGCATAAACGTAATCCTTGGTGATGAATGGGGTTAAGGCTAGAGAGAGTAGCAGGAGATGCTGCTGAATAGATCTGGTCACCATAATCAAGTTTCGATAAAATAAGGGTGGAATGTAAGCGAAGGAGGGTTCGACGATCAGCTCCCCATGAAAGATGAGCAAGGGTTATGAGAAGGTTCAGCCGACTGTGACAAGTTGCCTTCAGAGAGGTAATGTGAGGTTTCCAGGATAACCTACGATCAAAGAGGAGGCCCAGAAACTTGACTGTATCACGTTCAGGGATACGGGAGCCATAGAGGTACAAAGGATGATCGGAGATGGCAGAGCGTCTAGTGAAAGTAATTGGGTGGGTTTTAGTGCTGGAAAGTTTAAACCCACGTGTGGTGGCCCAATTGGAAACACGGTCGACTGCATGCTGGAGAGAAACTGTAATGAGGTGACAGTCAGCGCCTGCACAGGCAATAGTGAAGTCATCAACATAGAGTGATGACCAAATATTTGATGGAAGACTAGAGGCCAAATCATTAATAGCAAGGAGAAAAAGTGTTGTGCTCAGAACACATCCCTGGGGGACACCTTCAGCTTGGATAAAGTCCGGGGAGAGCACATTATTAACCCGAACACGGAAATGCCTGTAAGTTAAAAAGTTCTTAAGGAAGGATGGTAGATTGCCTCGAAGGCCTAAGGAGTGGGCTTGGGCTAAAATATTATACCTCCAAGTTGTGTCATATGCCTTCTCAAGTCAAAAAATATGGCAATAACTGAGTGGTTATTCGCAAAGGCATTACGAACATACGTATCCAAGCGTAGAAAGGGCCTATGGTAGAACGTCCCTTACAAAAGCCATATTGACGAGTGGAGAGACTGTTGTGTGTCTCTAAATACCACACTAAACGTCTATTTACTGGGCGTTCCACACTTGCAAACTGCACTGGTAAAGCAATGGGACGATAAGGGAGGTTTCATGTCCCTTTAGTGCCTGGTTTGCGGAAAGGGAGAACAATGGGGGATTTCCACAGCTGTGGAAGAACTCCTTGTGACCAAAATAAGATTGTAAAGGCGTAATAGGACTGCAAGGGCTGACTGATGTAAGTGTTGAGCATACGAATATAATGCGTCGGGCCCAGCTGCCGATGATCGGCAAGCTGAGAGTGTTGCCTCCAGTTCTTGAAGTGTAAAAGGCACATTATACTGTTTTCTCTGAGAGAAGAAAAGTCCAAGGGTGCTAACTCACGGGCAGACTTTGGGGAAAGAAATGAGGGGCATAGATGGAGTCCCTGAGAAATACGACCAATGATTGCCAATTTCATTGGCAACATCTAGTGGGTTTGCTATTTCAATACCGGGAACCCGCAGAACAGGAGCCGGGTCAGAGAAAAATTACCACTCAGTTTCATACTTTTTTTCCAGAAATGCAAATCAAAGAGGAAGCAGAGGTGATGGTGGAGAAATAAATCTCGTCACAAATGCGTTTTAGCGTCACGGATGAAACTGGGAACGATCGCATGCTTCTGCTTAAAATCAAGAAGTCTCTCTGTGGTTCATTGTACCGGGACCTGCCCCATGCAGCGCATTTCAAACGTACTGCACGAGCACAAGCAGGAGACCACCAAGGCACGCATTTCTGAGAATGCCTGCGCAAATTTTGGGGTATAGAATAGAAGCTCGGTTAAAACAGAGGACGAGAAGAGGTGTAAAAGCTCATCGAGGGAGGACGAAGAAGGAACCTCTCTAAAAACAGTTAGGTGTGAGTAAAGGTTCCAATTTGCCTGATCAATTGCCAGCGTGGGATGCGAAGAGGGGGTGAATATGAAGGGAAGTAAGAATGATTGGAAAATGATCGCTGCCCATGTAATCCGGAGAACAGACCAAGTGAAGTCTAATGTGGCGGAGGAAGAGCAAACTGAAGATCGATGCAAGAGAGAGTGCGAGTCCGAGGATCAAAATGGGTGCGAGTACCTGTATTTAAAACATGGAGGGGGTGGTGGCAAGAAAACCTCTAACTGAAAGCCACGGGAATCACAGAGAGACCCCCCCAGAGGAAATGGTGGGCATTAAAATCACCAAGAAACCCAGAATTGGTGGCGGTAATGACGAAACAAGAAAGGCAATATCCGAATAGATAATGCCCGAGAAGGAGAGAGATATAAAGAACAAGCGAAATCCCAAACCTATGCAAGTGGATACGGGCTCTGTGAAATGCAGCGAAGTACGAACAAAAGCTGATGGTACGGAATATCGTGCGAAAGAAAAGGGCACTTTCATTAAAGGTCCCATCAGGAAAGGATCTGTTTGAATACAATAAATTATACCTGAGATGGGAGAGATAACACAGAGTGAAATTTTGGTTTTCCTGTAAGCAAACACCAACAGGGGTAAACTGGAGAGTAACATCTGAAGCTCACCCCGATTACCCCTGAGGCCGTGTATATTCCACTGTAAATAGCCATGATTGGCAATGAAAAGATACCTGAAATACCAGGTAAGGGTTCCTACGGACTAGAGGGTTAAAAAAGTCCACATGCGGAGGCAGTGGAAAACTTCAAGCAGTGAAGGAAGGGTGCGCTGTGAAGAAAGGAGTTGTGCAATGGAGCAGGGGAGAGAGAAGGAGCAGAGGGTGGATCAGTGTCCATTGATGGTTTGGTCTCGCAATAAATTCAGAGATTGCTTCAGTGTTTCGGAATTCAGAGACGTCGTATGGGAGACAATATTGGGAAAATGGTAGGGGGAGGATGATTAAAGATTGGAACTGTATTGGACTCTCCCAAAGGGTAGGGGGGGGCGAAAGGGGGGAGGGAACTGGAGAAGCGTGGAAGGGGACAGAAGAGGCAGAAACCTGGGAGGTGGCAGAAGGGGAAAGGGAGCTTGGAGGGAAACAGGGAGGAAGGTACAGTAAGAGGAGGGTGAACCTCTACACTTGTAACAGAGCCGTGAGAGGGGAGAACCAGTACAGAACAGGAAGGTAAATGAGGAGGGGAAGATGGGTGGGAGGTGTTTAACGGACCTTTTTTTGACTTTTGAGAAGTAGAAGGACGATTGGGAGGAGGGTCAAACGAAATCTCGTCGCTACTGAGGCTTGTGAGAGAGAACACGAAGGGAACTGAAAAGAACACTGATCAACTGGGGAGTTGAAGTAAGGATGTCTGACCCAAAGGGACAGCAAAAGAAATAGATACAGGAGTGACTATGGGAGAGGTAACCACAGAGGTGGGTGCAGAAGAGGGGATACCAGAAGTGGGGGGAACGTTTTGAAACACGGGAATAAGAAACACGAGGTAGTCTCCCTTAAGGCGGAGATGAGAAACGCCATGGCATAAGGGAGACCTTCTGCCTCTTTAAGGTAACGGATTTCCCGCCTTTTTAAGTAGACTTGACAAGGGCGAGAATACAAAGGGTGAGCCTCATGACAATTAAGGCAAGAGGGAGGCCCTTGCAAGACGTATTAGAATGACCATCGGCACCACAGACTGGGCATTCGGCGATAGATCTGCAATATTCGCTGGGTGGCCAAATCGCCAGCAATTTATACACTGTTGCGGTGTAGGGAATCCCTTTCGAACTTGTAACCCGATGTCCTGCTACATAAACGAGGATGGGGGTTCACGGCTGTCAAAAGTAAACGACCACATTGCTAGGGATCGTCTCCCCCCCGCGGCAGGAAGAACGTAAGGTCTACCTTTAGGATTGGAGATCTTGGAGTTCCAGCTGTTCAAGAAAGTCAGTGCCACATGTCTGGAAATTTTGTTGAACTATGGTATGGGCAGAATGACGGACCACTACAAGAATTGAGGAATGATGTTTTTCAATATGACAGGAACCCGTATCGATATGGGAAAGACGAGAAAGCTCATGACCTGGGTAGCATTCTGTATGGTGAATGATGACCGTACCGCTCTTTAAAAGCATGAAAAGAAATACTTTACCAACATGGCGTAGGAGTGCCTTGCAAATACTGGGTCAGAAAGATAGGGAGTAGAGGAAGTCGGTCATAAAGTGAAGAATTTAGTCCATTGTGCAGTCTGAAACTGAGTGTGAAAAGGTAGTGAAGGATGTGTTAATCTTTTTTGAGAAGAACGAAAGGGGGAGAAGTACATCAGCAGGGAATTGTCGTTGGCATTTAGGCGTGGGACCAGAGTTGGTCCACGTGGAATGGGTCCGCGATTCGAAAATTGCTGCACCGTAGAGGGAGAGGCCGGAAGCATAGTCGAGGAGAGCGAAGGTCAGATAAATCGAAGGAGTCAGTCGAGGCTCATACCTGAAGTGGGTGAGGAAACAGCACCAGCAGAGGTACAGAGGCATGAGGAGTGTCCGAAGAGTGGTCCAAAGATGAGGCGGGGTCAAACAGGGTGCGGTACAAGAAGGAGCCCAGGGGGAGCAGGTTCATGGACTAGGGCTGCCATGATTAGGTTACTTCTTTCTTTTTGTTTTTAAGAAAAAAAAAGAAAGAAGAAAATATAATAAAAATAAAAAAAAGAATAAAAAAAAGGGGGGACCGGGGAGGGATAGTTCCTATGAGGAATGAAAGGGCCAGAAATCTCCCTCCGCACCCAAGAGGACCTCAGCACCGCAAGTAGCGCAGATGCAGCATGGAACTCATGCCATACCCTACCCATCATGCCAGTAAACCGGCAATCCGGGATAGCAACCTCACATCCGCCGAGCTACCTCGGTGGGCAAAAGAGAGGGTGGCCGGAAATCCGCCACAAAGCATACCTCCTTCGGCCACCAGCCCTGGAATCCAAAAGGTGGCTTCCAGAGATACACCCGTTGCCCGAGAGACACCCAAAGCCACCCTCCGGGGTACCGGAGAGGGATCGGGACATCCCAACAATCCAGATTCCACGGCAAAAATACGCCACCGCCAAGAACCTCAACAGAAAGGGGTGGACCCCGTTTCCCTTTCCCCTACCTAGGAACTAGCGTGCCTGTGGGAAAAAAAAAAAAAAAAAAAAAAACAAAGGCCAAAAAGGAAGGGCAAAAGGGAGGGGTGGGGAGGAGGAGGAGGAAAGGAAAAAGGGAAGGATGGGGAGGATGGGATAGGGAATGGGGGATTGGGGGGTAGTTAGGTTCGGTCTGAGGAAGGAGACCGACAGGTCTAATTCCTCAGACCAAGAGCCTCTTCACCACGCCAAGGAGCCCCTCTTGAAGAGGTTCAGAGATTAAAGAGGTGTGTGCAATGTGGACCAGGGTGCAGGCTTTTGTAGAGAACACCACCCTGACAAAGCTGAAACAAGCCATATCTGCAACATGTTTAGTGACAAAACCCTGTCCCACTTCAGGGAAATCTTAAAGAGATGCCAGAAACAGAGCACTCTGGACAGTTATTTTGTGAGACAGGGGTCCAGTGACTCTCAAGTTGGTTCTAGTGGCATTAAAAGACCGAGAAGGGAAGTAACCCCAGAGAAGGCATTACTACCTAAAGTCTTCATGGAGGGGGATTTCCCTTCCAAACACTAACTCCTCCCTCTTTCCTCCTCCCTATCTTCTGGAAGCCAGCATTAGCCTTCAATAAAGGTATACGTATAATACTTACATAATTGTAAAAAAAAATATTTTTTTCTGTGAATATTTTTGTTGGGAACGAATTAATTTTTTTCCCATTAATTCTTATGGGAAATATTAATTCGGTTATCAGCCATTTTGGTTATCAGCCGACCTTCAGAAACGGATTACGGTCGATAACCGGGGGTCCACTGTAATGTCAAAATATTTAAGTTGAATTATCATAAAGTTAAAATATGTAAGTCAAACCATTGTAAAGCGAGGAGCACCTGTACTGAAGTACAAAATTTGTATAAATATCAGAAACTAATGAGGTAATTATGTCCCTCACTTTCCGTCAGTTTTGAAGTGCGAACCAACAATTAAGCCGTTGGCATCCACAAATTTGTGAACGTTTTCCTTAGTCACTCCAGAACCAATCAAAACAGGAATATCAACATTACTGGCAACATCTGAAAAAAAAAAAAAGAAAAATACTGTTACACAGAGCACAGATCTGTAGTTCAGTAAAGTGTTAAAGAAATGTAAAATTTAATAGTATGGTAGCGAACTGCTTGACGACGGGGATATGTTCTGAGACATGCATCGGTAGGTGATTTAGTCGTTGTGTGAATGTCATAAGGTGTTTCCTTTTCTCTTACCTCTTCAGCTATGGCAACATTAGCGGATTTGTACGCTTAGGGGACGTGATAAACAAAACACAAAATTATAACAATAATAATAATACTTAATTTCATCATGATACAATGTTTGTACAAAGGTGAATGATATTTGGGTGTACATGCTTAAAGCCCCTTAACCCTTAAACTGTCCAAACACATATCTACGTTCACGTGCATAGCGCTCTGAACGTAGATCTCCGTTTCATTTAACATGCTCTCAAATGTAAAAAAAACGTAAATCTATGTTTGGAGCGCTACGCACATGAATGTAGATCTATGTTTGGACAGTTTAAGGGTTAATATGCAGAGCATTTTGGGCAAACTTGCGACTAACTAAAGATTAAAATAGGAATGACAATTTCTGTAATTTTACACATACAGTCTCTTAGGTGCACATAAGTATAAATTCTAACATATTGACATAAAGAGGGACACAGGGAAAAATGATGCTATGAAGAGATGCAGGAAACACCAGATGTATGAGGCTGCTGCCACTAACACCCCATACTGTTTTGTCTCATCTTTTTTTTTTGTAAGCAGAAAGAATACACTCTAGAATAAACATAAAAAATACAGTATAGTAAATACATAACCAGTAATACAGTTATCATTATCAAATACATATTATGTACTGTACATAACTCTATGTGCTGTACTTTCATACGACTGGCAGCGCATGAGACCACCATCAGACATGTGGTCCCTCGTTGACCGAAACGTCGTTATGCAACACATTATAATTTTTTTAAATACACCGGCTGTTTCCCAGCAGGGCAGGTGACCCAAAATAGAAGAAACACTTTCATCATCATCCACTCCATCACTGTCTTGCCAGAGGGGTGCTGACAATACAGTTAAAAGAAACTGCAACGTATCTCCACCTCTCCTTCAGTGCTGGCACTGTATTCCCACCTCCAGGACTCAAGTCCGGCTAACCAGTTTCAGTAAATCCTTTCAAAACTGTTACTTTGCTCACACTCCAACAGCATGTCATCATAAAAATAATTTGTCTGAACTCACTCCTATCTAACACACTCATGCATGCTGGAAGTCCAAGCCACTCACACACAAAACCACCTCTACCCACTCCCTCCAACTTTACCTAGGGTGAATCCCCAGCCCCACCTTCCTTATAATTGTAATAATATTGGTAGAATTACCAACAATATGTTAGTTAACAGTACACAAGTGCAACTAATGTGACCTTTTATTGTGGCGATGTTTCACTCTCCAGAGGCTTTAAGCTCCTGGAAAGTGAAACATAGTTGTGATGTTTACCAAGAAATTTGTGTTGAAAATGGTATAAAATATTGACAAGCTGAAGATAAAGACGTGCAACTGAAGATAGCAACTGTGTACACAAAACATTTCATAAATAAAGATACTAAACTGTTGCACATGTGTCTTAAACAACAGAGAAATCTGACTGCAACATTAACACCCCTGAAGGAGGGGTGTTAATGGTGCAGTTTAAAAACTGTAGTGTAAAGCACCATTCTGGCAAGACAGTGATGGAGTGAATGATGGTGAAAGTTTTTCTTTTTCAGGCCACCCTGCCTTGGTGGGAATCGGCCAGTGTGATAATAAAAAAAAAAAGTCACTCAGTACTCATCCCGTACCCATAAAAAATATTTATATATCACACAATAAAAACAATGATTAAATTAAAAATAAAAAGAAGACTGTATTTACTACAACAAATGAGTAAACAAAACAATAATCAATAATTTTGACACAAGATCAAAACATACAATGTAACCTTGATTGATTTACTTCTCTTTATAATTTGTTTTACGTAAATGGTTTAGAAAACTGACAAGTTGAAGAATGAGACATTAATCCAACGTCTGGTTATTTTTACTGTGGAAACGTAGGATTGGATTAAGAAATGGACTTTAGGAGCTGCAGCCCAGGGTCCTCTGAGAACTGGAGGGCCTCCATAGGCTGCAGCCCAGGGTCCTCTGCCAACTGGAGGGCCTCCATAGGCTGCAACCCAGGGTCCTCTGTCAACTGGAGGGCCTCCATAGGCTGCAACCCAGGGTCCTCTGTCAAATGGAGGGCCTCCATAGGCTGCAACCCAGGGTCCTCTGCCAACTGGAGGGCCTCCATAGGCTGCAACCCAGGGTCCTCTGCCAAATGGAGGGCCTCTGCCAAATAGAGGGCCTCCACGAACTGTAACCCAGGGTCCTCTGCCAAATGGAGGGCCTCCAGGGGCTGCATCCCAGGGTCCTCTGTAAACTGGAAGGCCTCCATAGGCTGCAACCCAGGGTCCTCTGTAAACTGGAAGGCCTCCATAGGCTGCAACCCAGGGTCCTCTGCCAAATGGAGGGCCTCCAGGGGCTGCAGCCCAGGGTCCTCTGTAAACTGGAAGGCCCCCATAGGCTGTAACCCAGGGTCCCCTGCCAAATAGAGGGCCTCCATGAGCTGTAACCCAGGGTCCTCTGCCAACTGGAGGGCCTTCATGAACTGTAACCCAGGGTCCTCTGCCAAATGGAGGGCCTCCATAAACTGTAACCCAGGGTCCTCTGCCAAATGGAGGGCCTCCATAAACTGTAACCCAGGGTCCTCTGCCAACTGGAGGGCCTTCATGAACTGTAACCCAGGGTCCTCTGCCAAATGGAGGGCCTCCAGGGGCTGCAAGCCAGAGTCCTCTGCCAAATGGAGGGCCTCCAGGGGCTGCAACCCAGGGTGCTCCACCAGCTGGAGTGCCTCCAGAGATTAAGTGAAAAGTATTCACGGTTACTGCTGGAGGTTCATAATGTTTTTTTTTCAACAAACCGGCTGTATCCCACTGAGGCAGGGTGACCTAAAAAGAAAAGCGAAAGTTTCTCTTTTTAACTTTAGTAATGTATACAGAAGAAGGGGTTACTAGCCCCTTGCTCCCAGCATTTTAGTCGCCTCTTACGACACACATGGCTTACAGAGGAAGAATTCTGCTCCACTTCCTCATACCAGGAGTATACCTGGAGAGAGTTTCGGGAGTCAGCACCCCGTGGCCCGGTCTGTGACCAGGCCTCATGGTGGATCAGGGCCTGATCAACCAAGCTGTTATTATTACATGACATATATGATGGACTGTTGACTCCCGTGATTATTTTCTGATGGATATTTAAAAGTGGATCCCTATTAGGGGCCTCACAGTACCTGTAACTTGGGGGCCTCACAGTACCTGTAACTTGGGGGCCTCACAGTGCCTGTAGCCCAGGTGCCTCACAGTGCCTGTAGCCCAGGTGCCTCACAGTGCCTGTAGCCCAGGTGCCTCACAGTACCTGTAACTTGGGGGCCTCACAGTGCCTGTAGCCCAGGGGCCTCACAGTACCTGTAACTTGGGGGCCTCACAGTGCCTGTAGCCCAGGGGCCTCACAGTGCCTGTAGCCCAGGGGCCTCACAGTACCTATAGCCCAAGGCCCTCACAGTTCCTGTTGCTCAGGGGCCTCACAGTACCTGTAGCCCAGGGGCCTCACAGTACCTGTAGCCCAGGGGCCTCACAGTACCTGTAGCCCAGGGGCCTCACAGTACCTGTAGCCCAGGGGCCTCACAGTACATGTAGCCCAGGGGCCTCACAGTGCCTGAGTGATAAAGCTTGGTTTGATTAGTAGCTGAAGTTTTAAGGCTAATTCTTGGCGAGTTATGTGAACAGCGGGGCGCCAGGAGTACACAGAGAACACAATAAGTGTCAGGGGCCCAAGACTGTTTAACTGCCTCCCAGCATACATAAGGGGGATTACCAATAAACCACTGTCTTCAAGACCCCTTGTTGTCTTCAAGACCCCTGGCTGTCTTCAAGATCCCTGGCTGTCTTCAAGACCCCTGGCTGTTTTCAAGACCTCTGGTTGTCTTCTAGACCCCTCATTGTCTTCAAGAAGGCACTGGACAGGCATCTAAAGCCAGTACTTGACCAGCTAGGCTGTGGTTCATATGTCAGTTTGTGTGCTGCTAGCAGTAATAGCCTGGTTGATTAGACCCTCATCCATCATGAGGCCTGGTCTCAGACTGGACCATGGGGAAGTTGACCCCCAAAACCCTCTCCATGTATACTCCAGGTAAGTGGGTGGGTGGGAAGAGGTGGTTTTGAGAAGGACCTACCTAGAATGGGCCAGTAGGCCTGCTACAGTGTTCTTCCATTATGTTCTCTTTCTGTTGTTCTTTGAGGACTTGCCTAATATGAGCCAGTAGGCCTACTGTAATGCTCCTCCATTCTCATGTTCTTATGATACACTGTCAGCTTACCATGAAGGGGGAGGGGTAGGTTGAGGACAAGCTCTGGGCCCTAAATAAATCAAGATGCTTAAAAAGAAAATACTGCGAGATCCCTTTAATGAAGATACAGTATACTTCTGATATAACACACCTCGATATAAGAGACTTCTGAAATAACAGACAAAATCCTCCGGTTAAATTGTACTTATCATTGATGTTCAATTTTTACTGCAGTGTATCAGCAAACTGAGTGTATAGCAAGTGTTGATAAGTAAGAACAATGAACACTGTGAAGTGGTCGCAGCATTCAACACACAGGGGAGCCCGGTGTTCCTCACTGTTAGGTTTCCGACCCCCAACGATAAGCAAAAATTACCAGCAGGTGAACAAGAGCAGTTTCTCGCTATCGAATGCATCTATAAACTGCTGATAATGTGTTCACACTGTCATATATTAAGTGCTCAGTACAGCCAGGCATAAAAAAAGATAAAATAAATACAAAGTGCATATACAATACAGCCTCTCATCACTTAGCGATGTACTCGTTTACCGATGACTCGGACTTACGACGGGCTCTCTGACCAGTATTCATACTTAAATAATTTATATTAGAGCTATTTCCTCTATTCTCTTTATTACAATATACAATACACTACTGTATAAACATTTAAAAATACACCAGAAATTTTATAAATGGTGCAAATGTGACATTAAAACAATATCAAAGATGGCTGACACAAACCCACCACCATTATGGTATGCTCCTTGCTTAGCGACGAATTTGTTTACCGACATGGTCTCAGGAACAGAACTCTGTCGTTAACCCTTAACCCGTAAATGGTCCAAACGTATATATATGTTTTTTTTAACATCTGAAAGTATGTAAAAAAATGAAGATCTTTTTTTTTTGTTTTACATTTGAAAACGTGTAAAAAAAACTTTTATCTACATCTTTTTTTGTTACATTTGAAAATATGTAAAAAAAAGTAGATCTACTTTCGTAGCTACGAATTTGAACGTCGATCTGTTTGGACCGTTTAACCCTTTGAGGGTCGACAGGCCCTCTCCGAAACTCGTTCTCAGGGTCGACCAAATTTAAAAAAAAAAAAAAATTATTTTCTCTTATGAAAAGATAGAGAATCTTTTCCCGATCATAAAGACACCAAAAGTTTGAAATTTGATAGAAAACTTACGGAATTATGCTCTCGCAAAGTTAGCGGTCTCGGCGATGTTTACGCATCGGCGATTTTGCCCACTTTGAGCCCCATTTTCGGCCAATTTCACTGTACTAGTCGACAAAAAACATGAATATTTCGCTAGAACTCCATTTTTTCTATCGAATGGATGCAAGAAACCACCCATTTATGAAATTCAACTATCCAGTACAGTGGTCAGAATTTAGCAATTTTGCCAATTTCACACAAATTTCAAAAGATGCCAATTTCGGAATAGGGTCCAGAATAAACAAGAAAGACATTCCTGGCACTAAAATGACATTTCCTCTAGTCATTAGTCATGTCTCAAGTCCCCTCTTATATTCTTTTGCTTTCCACTTTGAATTTTTATTCTCACAAAAAATATAAGATTTACTGTTATGCAGACTACTGCATTAGTGTAAAAAATGGTATAAATATTATTGGTGCACTTGTGAAAGAACATTAGACTCACCAGTTGACGTGTATTGCACGCTTGGCACGATTTGTTTACTTTTGAAGTTTGGTAAAAATCGAACATTTCTGCTACTTTGAGCTCAATTTCAAGGCACCTTTCATTGTAAAACCAGTCAAAATCATCTCAATTTCTGTAATATGTCTTCCATTCTATAAAATGAGACCAAGAAAACTAGAATACAACAATAAATACCATACGAAAATACACTGCAAAGTCGCTGATTTATTAAAAAAAAATGGTCAAAGTTTTTTTTTTCTCATTATGCACTGTGTGCTGCAGGATTTTTTTTAGACTGTGCACACTGACCACATAGACCCATTCTTTCATATGAAGGCCTACCAGCTTTCTCCCACTAGATTTGAGGCCGCTAGAATTTATGAGTACTAGTACGTCAAAAACCCCTACGCGTAAAACGTACTAGTACGACGAAAACCCTCAAAGGGTTAAGGGTTAAACTGTCCAAACACAGATCTATGTTCAGGCACTTCGAATGCAGATCTACTTTGTTTTTTTACATTTGAAAGCATGTAAAATAAAACATAGATCTACACTCAGAGCGCTATGCAGAACGTAGATCTACGTTCACATGTGTAGCGCTACAAAAGTAGATCAAAGTTTTTTTTACACATTTTCAAATATAAAAAAACAAAAAGAAGATCTACTTTTTTTACATACTTTCAAATGTTGAAAAAACGTATATATACGTTTGGACCGTTTACGAATTAAGGTTTAAGTGAGGAGTGGTTGTACTTACCTTAAAATATGGTGCCAGTTGCCCTTCCATTATGCAACTGTTGTGAGTTAAACTGGTGAAAACACTTTATATAATGAATTAATATTAGTCTTCCTGAAATGCTCAAGGATGCTAGCGGCATGCCACTAGCATGTCTGAGCATGCCGCTAGCATGCCACTAGCATGCCTGAGCATGCCACTAGCATGCCTGAGCATGCCGCTAGCATGCCTGAGCATGCCACTAGCATGCCTAGCATTTTATAACATGTAAATCACACATTATTAGATCTGCTTGGACAGTTTAAGGGTTAATACATACATTGTTTATACAGTAGTGTATGTTAATACATTATCTGTGATTCTTCAGCATTATTCTTGTTTCATGAACACCGGGAAAATCTCTTGGATTAGATTACTGTGTCTAAATCAGTAATGGTATAAATAACACTTATATGGACATATAGGTGAGTACAAACAGGAAGTACATGTGTCTGGTACTCAGCAGACGGAGGATAGAGCCTCCAACACATCTTACACTGTGACCCACATGGGTTTAGTGCTTAACATGAGTTATATAACATACAGGTAGTCCTTGGCTTATGATGGGTTCATCGGAACATAAATCCATCCTGAGTTGAAAATGTTGTAAGTTAAAAATATCGTAAATCGAATATGAATATATGATAAATAAATAAATAACTGTCACTAGTAAATAAATAAATAATTACTGTAACTAAATACCAGTATTGAAAAGTAAATAAATAAGTATAAGTTACAGGCTATCAATAATTATTATTATATTATTTTTATTACTAACACACTGGCCGATTCCCACCAAGGCAGGGTGACCCGAAAAAGAAAAACTTTCACCATCATTCACTCCATCACTGTCTTGCCAGAAGGGTGCTTTACACTACATTTTTTAAACTGCAACATTAACACCCCTCCTTCAGAGTGCAGGCACTGTACTTCCCATCTCCAGGACTCAAGTCCAGCCTGCCGGTTTCCCTGAATCCCTTCATAAATGTTACTTTGCTCACACTCCAACAGCACGTCAAGTATTAAAAACCATTTGTCTCCATTCACTCCTATCAAACACGCTCACAAATAAGAAACATTTACACCATTGTAAAGTTGAGATATTGTAATTCAAACCATCGTAAATCAAGGACCTGTATAACACTACCTATGGACATTTCTTGTTACCATGTAGCTGATTGTGGTCTGCTTCTTGGCCAGTGGCCGAGCCAGTAATAACCACACCGTTGGCCAGGAAGAACTTGGCCGCCTCAGCCGTGGCCACAATGTCGACATCGCTTGTTATGGCGTGGGCGCTGTACCATAAAAAATTATCATTCAAAATTGAATAGGGAAAAATTAATAATTTATAAATTTTATGAGATATTTGCGACTGAGTTTGAGAGTTTTCCTTAGCCTATAGGCCTTGGGCCAGGCCTATCTGGATGTTACAGTTTTGGAAAGTCATCTAAGCCGTAATAAGGAATAAGAAGTCACAATACCGTGACTGAAACAATACACAAATAATCCGCACACAGAAGAGTGAAACTCATAAGGTGTAACACTGGTACACATCTCACAAGACACTGACTGAGTGATGGTAAAACTATTCTCCTTCTCTGTCACCTTAATACATGACCAAGTGTTCAAGGATCTTCAATTATAACACGATGCTCAAAAACAAATGCAACACTATCTTAACATTACAATCAACTGTCTTATATAGCCCCTCACTATCTTATTTACTAACTTACTAACCTATTTACTAACTTACTAACCTATTTACTAACTTACTAACATATTTACTAACTTACTAACCTACTTACTAACTTACTAACCTATTTACTAACTTACTAACCTATTTACTAACTTACTAACCTATTTACTAACTAACCTATTTACTAACTTACTAACCTATTTACTAACTTACTACCCTATTTACTAACTTACTACCCTATTTACTAACTTACTAACCTATTTACTAACTTACTAACCTATTTACTAACTTACTAACCTATTTACTAACTTACTAACCTATTTACTAACTTACTAACCTATTTACTAACTTACTAACATATTTACTAACTTACTAACATATTTACTAACTACTAACCTATTTACTAACTTACTAACCTATTTACTAACTTACTAACCTATTTACTAACTTACTAACCTACTTACTAACTTACTAACCTACTTACTAACTTACTAACCTACTTACTAACTTACTAACCTATTTACTAACTTACTAACCTATTTACTAACTTACTAACCTATTTACTAACTTACTAACCTATTTACTAACTTACTAACCTATTTACTAACTTTACTACCCTATTTACTAACTCTACTAACTATTTTACTAACTTACTAACCTATTTACTAACTTACTAACCTATTTACTAACTTACTAACCTATTTACTAACTTACTAACCTATTTACTAACTTACTAACCTATTTATTAACTTACTAACCTATTTACTAACTTACTAACCTATTTACTAACTTACTAACATATTTACTAACTTACTAACCTATTTACTAACTTACTAACCTATTTACTAACTTACTAACCTATTTACTAACTTACTAACCTATTTACTAACTTACTAACCTATTTACTAACTTACTAACCTATTTACTAACTTACTAACCTATTTACTAACTTACTACCCTATTTACTAACTTACTAACCTATTTACTAACTTACTAACCTATTTACTAACTTACTAACCTATTTACTAACTTACTAACCTATTTACTAACTTACTAACCTATTTACTAACTTACTAATGTATTTACTAACTTACTAACCTATTTACTAACTTACTAATGTATTTACTAACTTACTAACCTATTTACTAACTTACTAACCTATTTACTAACTTACTAACCTATTTACTAACTTACTAACATATTTACTAACTTACTAACCTATTTACTAACTTACTAACCTATTTACTAACTTACTAACCTATTTACTAACTTACTAACCTATTTACTAACTTACTAACCTATTTACTAACTTACTAACCTATTTACTAACTCCTCTGTATAGCAAGATTTTTAAAAATACAAATAAAAACTATGTATACATAAAATTCAACAGTGTGTAAAAAAACCTTCACAGAAAGTGCCATTTAAATTTTGATATTCTTCTTTAATATTATTTACAATTTTGTTTACATTATACAGTGGAGTCTTGCAAGAAACATTATACAGTGGAGTCTTGCAAGAAACATTATACAGTGGAGTCTTGCAAGAAACATTATACAGTGGAGTCTTGCAAGAAACATTATACAGTGGAGTCTTGCAAGAAACATTATACAGTGGAGTCTTGCAAGAAACATTATACAGTGGAGTCTTGCAAGAAACATTATACAGTGGAGTCTTGCAAGAAACATTATACAGTGGAGTCTTGCAAGAAACATTATACAGTGGAGTCTTGCAAGAAACATTATACAGTGGAGTCTTGCAAGAAACATTATACAGTGGAGTCTTGCAAGAAACATTATACAGTGGAGTCTTGCAAGAAACATTATACAGTGGAGTCTTGCAAGAAACATTATCATAATTCCACTGTACGTCAAGAAGCATGTGTGTTATATCAGTCTTCCAGGATGATACCCAGGTGTTGTGCATGTGTTTCAGTCTTTGAAAAGTATGGCCAGGAAGATACCCAGGTGTTGGGCATGTGTTTCAGTCTTTGAAAAGTATGGCCAGGAAGATACCCAGGTGTTGTGCATGTGTTTCAGTCTTTGAAAAGTATGGCCAGGAAGATACCCAGGTGTTGTGCATGTGTTTCAGTCTTTGAAAAGTATGGCCAGGAAGATACCCAGGTGTTGTGCATGTGTTTCAGTCTTTGAAAAGTATGGCCAGGAAGATACCCAGGTGTTGTGCATGTGTTTCAGTCTTTAACTTATATTACCTGTGTTTCTTCTTTATGTCAGCGAACACCAAAACATCCTCAGCACCAATTGTACGTCGGTAGCGTAGCAAAGACCCAGCACAGCCATCCATCAAGCCTTCATCCGCTACGTGAGAGAACACAAAACACTCAGCACGGATGAACTGCAATCCACAGGCTTTGCTGACAGCTAAAGCTTCCTGGTTCCCTCCTGCCAGTATCTGACAGACAATGGATGAATTGTAATCTACAAGCTTCACTGACAGCTAACACTTCCTGGTTCCCTCCAGCCAGTATCTGATAGAGACTATCCTGACACACCTGGAGTATACCTGGAGAGGGTTTTGGGGGTCAACGTCCCCACAGCCCAGTCTGAGACCAAGCCTTGTGGTGGATCAGGGTCTGATCAAGCAGTCTGTTACTGCTGGCTGCAAGCAAACTGATGTATGAACCACAGCCCAGCTGGCCAGGCACCGACTTTAGGTGCCCGTCCAGTGCCTGCTTGAAGACAGCGAGGGGTCTATTGGTAATCCCCCTTATGTATGCTGGGGGGCAGCCAAACAGTCTTGGGCCCCTGACACTTATTGTGTTGTCTCTCAGTGTACTCATGGATCCCCTGCTTTTCATTGAGAAAATATTGCATCTCCTGCAAGTATTTTGCTTTCATAGGGAGTGATTTTCGTGTGCAAGTTTGGTGCTAATCTCTCTCTAGGATTTTCCAAGTGTATATTATCATGTATCTTTTCCACCTGCAATCCAGGGAATACAAATCAAGGGACTTCAACCGTTCCCAGCAATTTAGGTGCCTTATCGTACTAATGTGTGCCGTGAAAGTTCTTTGTACACTCTCCAGGTCAGCAATTTCGCCTACCTTGAAGGAGGCTGTTAGTGTGCAGCAGTATAAGTAAGTTTATTCAGGTTAACACAAATACAGTTACATTGATTATCATACATAACAGCATATGTGTAAAGAACCTAGGATAACCAAAAAAGTCAGAGTGACTTATTTCCATTGGGGTCCTTTGCTTTACTTATTTCCTAGAGAGAACAAGCGATTTGAAGAGAATCAATATGGGCTTGACGTCCCAAGTTTTGAAGGTTCTCATTATCCATCCTATCATTTTCCAGCAGATGCGGTAGACACATTATTGTTGTCTCTGAAGGTGAGATCCTCTTACATTGTAACTCCCAGACTCTTCACATTACTTTTTAACTCTATTTTATTGTTAGAATTTGTTGTGTACTCTGATACAGTTTTAACTTCCTCAAGTTTTCCATATCTGAGAAGTTGAAATTTTTCTTCATTGAACTTTATATTGTTTTGAGTGGCCCATTTGAAGATTTGGTTGAAGTCCGCTTGGAATCTTGCGGTGTCTTCAATGGAGGACACTGTCATGGCAATTCAGGTGTCATCTGCAAAGGAAGACAAGGAGCTATTGCTTACATTGCTGTTTATGCCAGATATGAGGATGAGGAATACCTGGAGTTTACCTGGAGAGAGTTCCGGGGGTCAACGCCCCCACGGCCCGGTCTGTGACAAGGCCTCCTGAATAGGATGGGAGCGAATACCGTGCCTTGAGGAACACAGATTTTCACTGTAGCCACCTGTGACTTTACTCTGTTTACTATTACTCTTTGTGTTGTATTTGTCAGGAAGTTGTAGAACCATCTACCAACTTTTCCTGTTACTCCGTCACACATTTTGTGCGCTATTACACTGTGGTCGCACTTGTCAAAGGCTTTTGCAAAGTCTGTGTATACACATCAGCCATCACTAATCCGGCATCAGTGGGACCTGTACTGTGCTGGATTAGTGAATTTGCTGGATTACAGTGGTTAGGTTAGAATATCTTAACCCGTAAACGGTCCAAGCAGATCTACGTTCACATGTGTAGTGCTACAAAAGTAGATCTACGTTTTTTTTACATATTTTCAAATATAACAAAAAAAAAACTAGATGAAAGTTTTTTTACACATTTTCAAATGTAAAAAAACAAAAAGAAGATCTACTTTTTTTACATACTTTCAAATATTGAAAAAACGTATATATACATTTGGACCGTTTACAGGTTAATTAACCTATCAAGAGAGACTTTCTGCTACATCTTCCTTATTTTCATCACTGCTTTCTTCTTCACTGGCTTGCTGCTGTGGATTTTACAACCATCTGCACAATTTCTGAGTCAGTATAATGATGAAATTTGAAATTATGCTAGCCAAAATTAGTGCCAGATTACTGGTGGAACTGGATAAATGATTGCCGGATTAGTGATGGCTGACCTGTACTACATTTGCATTTTGTTTATCCTCTACAGCATCCAGGACCTTGTCATAGTGGTCCAGTAGCTGGGACAGACAGGAGCAACCTGCTCTACACCTATGTTGACCTGGGTTGTGTAACTTACGGGTATCTAGGTGGTTGGCGACACTAGTGCTATTAGTCTACAGTTCTTGGCAAGTGCTTTACTGCCACCTTTGTGGAGTGGGGCTATGTCTGTTGTTTTTAGCGAGTGTGGGATGACCTGCGTGTCCATGCTCCCTCTCCATAGAAAGCTGAAGGGACCACGGAGTTCCACAAGTCTGGGCCTGGGGCAGAGTGCATGCGCAAGTCCTTAATTCCCTTTTCAAAGTCTTGTGGTGTTAGGATAATATCAGAGATTTTTTAATTGACCCAATTATGAGTCTCGGTCATAAACAATTCATTTAGACTGTTGACGCTTAGTCTGGGTAATGGCTCGCTAAACACCGAGTTGTACTGGGACTTCAGTATCTCAGCCATTTCTTGGTTGTCATCTGTGTATATCTCATCTTGCCTAAGCAGCGGCCCAATATTGGATGTTGTTTTACCATAAGATTTGGTATAAGAGAAGAAGTATTTTGGGTTTTTTTAATTTCCTTTATGGATTTTAGTTCTTCCTGAGATTTTCGTCTCCTGTAAGATTCCTTAAGCTTAAGTTTGATATTTTCTAGTTCTGTGACCAGTGCCTCCCTTCATATTTCAGATATATTGGCCCCTCTCAGCAGCTCTGTGATTCTCCACCTTCGTCTGTATAGGGAGCATCTCTGTCTTTCTAGTTTACATCTTCTCTTACTCTTCTTAATGGAATGTGCATAGAGACCTCAAGTGCCATAGAGTTAATTTTTTTTTCTAGGCAAAGGTTCGGATCCGTGTTGTTTCGGATAAGTTCCCAGGTTGTTTCATTTAGGGCATGGTTGACTTGTTCCCATTGTATGTTTTTGTTATTGAAGTTGAATTTTGTGAAGAGACTTTCATGACTGATCATATATTGCTGGTCTGGAGCCCTGTGCATACATGTCTGTACCTCTATTATGTTGTGATCTGAGTGTATTGTCTTTGATAAGGTTATATTACGTATCAGATTGTCGTTGTTAGTGAAGATGAATTCCAGCATATTTTCTTGTCTTGTAGGCTCTAATATTTGTTGGTTTAAAGTGAATTTGGTGCAGAGATTTAATAGCTAGGTGTCTCAGGTTGAAATCTCCCAGCAGTAAGAGACTTGAGTTCTGGTGGGAAGTACAATGCCTGCACCCTGAGGGAGGGGTCTGGGATACCAGCTGTTTGGAGTGACATTTAAACTGTTATATCTGAGTGCCTCTGCAAAGACAGTGATAGGGTGAATGACATTGGAAGTGCTTTTTTTTTTTTTTTTTTTTTTCAGGTCACCCTTCCTCAATGGGAGACAGCCAACGTGTTATAAAAAAAATAAAAATCACGTCATCTCCGTAACTTAACAACACTAACATTATGCTATATGAAACAAAACCAACTCATCAATACCATAATTCGATTGATAGTTCACTTAGCCCTCACACTGAGGGCTAGTCTATAGGCCTTAGAATTAATCTGCCTGAAATGCTCATTCAAATTCAAATTTTTATTTTTTTGCAAAGTTCACAACATGTGACTGACATGTTATAAGGAGTCTATTTCCATGCATAGTTTAAAATGTTTAATTACAATGCTGATTTGCAAGTGAAAAGAAAGTCACTATCATGCCGAGGCATTCCGCTCCAGAGTGCTTCCATCCCCTCCCCCCGCCCCCACAGGTGCTGTATAATCCCTATGGATTTAGCGCTCCCTATGATAATAATCGCGCATGCTAGTGGCTTTCTTTGCACTTAACAATATTTTACTACATGTAAACTACACTACAGCCTCTCCTCACTTAGCGATGTACTTATTTACCGACGACTTAGACTTACGACCAGCTCTCCAACCAATATGCAAACCTATGTATGATAGAGTTGATTTCCTTTATTCTGTTTATTATAGTATAAAGTACACTACTGTATAAACATTTAAAAACATACTAAATATGTTATAAACGGTGCAAAGGTGATATTAAAACAATATTTAAAGATAGCTGACACAAACCCATGACCATTACAGTATGCTCCTCGCTTAATGACCAATTCACTTACTGACCTACTCTTAGGAACGGAAGCCTGTTGTTAAGTGAGGAGAGGCTGTAATTGTATACTGCACAAACAAAATAAATGTTTGTTTTCTGTTCGCTGTATTTTACAGCGAACAAGATGCTCCAGTGTTGGCACCCTCAATCCTGATTGGCTGAATATTGGAAAAGAAAAGATAAATGGTACTTTGGCTTTCAAGACGTACGGGAAATTTTCAAAACTTGGGGGAAAAAATAGCATCTTCGATGGTGTAAAATATGGCACATGCGGGTTATATATCATCTGTACTGCCTAAATTGCACGTATTTAACAGGTGATCTTACCGACTTACTGCTTCTTCACTGAGTATCACAAATTATATATAGAGTAAATGTTGATAATATCATAGCTGGAACAATTCACTGACAACTTGTCCTGCAATGCTGTCAAGAATGTGCCTTAACTCTGTCATGAATGGACCTAAACAGTCAAGAAGTCAAAGTCAATGTTTACATAGGAATGTTTATACAGGAATGCTTATATAGCAGTGGGTGACATACGAATGCATGCAAAAAGCCTATGGTTATGCAAAGAACAGTGGAACCTCAAACATCGAACTTTCTTCAGTCGAGAAGGCTGTCCAAGTGCTGTTACCGAATGAATTTATTCCCATCAGAAATAATGTAAATTAGATTAGTCCATTCCAAACCCTCAAAAATACACTTATAAAAGCACTTACAAAAATACACTTACATAATTGGTTGAGTTAGGAGCAGTTCGATTTTTGAGGTTCCACTGTATTTTGGGCAAGCTCAACTTAAGATTACACAGAAATAAACATTACATATATGTACATAAGATCATAATGTTCCTCTCATAAGAATGACTAAGGGCAAAATAACATACAGCCTCTCTTCACCTAGTGACATATTTGTTTACCGATGACTCGGACTTACGACGGGCTCTCTAACCACCATACATACCTAAATAATGTATATTAGAGCCGATTTCCTCTATTCTATTGATTACAATATACAGTATACTACTGTATAAACATTTAAAAAAATACCAGAAATGTTATATATGGTACAAAGGTGACATTAAAACAATATCAAAGATGGTTGACAAACTCACTACCATTACAACATACTCCTTGCTTAGCAATGAATTCATTTACTGACGTGGTCTTAGGAACGGAACTCCGTCAAAGTCAGGAGAGGCTTGAACAACGTGGACTAAAGTTGCTTGTGGGGCCCCTCTGGGGTGAGGGGTCCTGAAGCTTGAACTACTATGGGGCCCCTTTAATAACTCAATTGCTAATGCACTCAGCTAACACACTGAGGTCCAGGGATCGATGCCCTGGTATGGGTGGAAACATCAGGACATGTTTCCTTGAGACACCTGCTGTTCATATTCACCAATCAGTAAAATAGGTGCCTGGGTGTTAATCAACCAGTGCAAGTTGCATCCTGGGACAAAACTGACCTAATTTGCGGCAAATGCTCAGCATAACAAGCAGCTTTCTATATAGTAGTATGTCACTGACGTCAGCTATGATCTGTATACCTTGTACATGTACTTGTAGAAATAAAGATATCATGAAATTGTTTCTGGGGCCCCTCCGGGATTAGGGGCCCTGAAGCTGAAGCTTCATCAGTTTCATACTACAGTGGACCCCCGCTTAACAATCAGTTCCCAATGTGACCAATTATGTAAGTGTATTTATGTAAGTGTGTTTGTACGTGTATGTTTGGGGGTCTGAAATGGACTAACCTAATTCACAATATTCCTTATGGGAACAAATTCGGTCAGTACTGGCACCTGAACATACTTCTGGAATGAAAAAATATCGTTAACCGGGGGTCCAGTGTACATGCATTCCTGAGTATGTACTGTACCTGAACACCACAGGGTACACTCCGTGGGATGATTCTTCGCACCTCACAACAAACTTTGGTCATGCAAGCAACAACTTCAGGTCCTAGTGATGACCTCTTAACATAAGGCACATCAAACATATTCTCCACCAAAACTCCGTCCTGAAAACAAAAGAAAAAATTGACATTAAATGTTTATTTCTACAAGTACATGATACAACTTATACAGACCGGTTATAAAGTTTAATTGATGAATTGCAAATAATAAGTGGAGAATTAGTATTTTATCACTATGGTGCCATTATTAAGCAAAATTAAGGCTTATTTTCGGGCTACGGTCAACTGCGGATAACCGAAATGGTGGAAACCGGACCAGAGGATATGTCAGTCTTAGTGTAATACACGAAGTCCTTGACTTAAGAACATGTTGGGGACCTCCTGAATTGTGTATAATTCATAATGTTAGGTAAGACACATGTGCAACAGTTAGGTATCTTTATTTCAAAACGTTTCACCTACACAGCAGGCTTCTTCAGTCAAGTAGAGAAAAGTTCGTAGAAGAATAAGAGACGTGAAGATGAATGTAATCATTCCATCATCTTGAAGGTGTAGTTTTCATAATTTACAATAAAGGAAGTCTTCAATTTACGAACACATCGGGGACCTCCTGAATGGTGTAAATAATAATAATAATAATAATAATAATAATAATACAGTGGACCCCCGGTTTACGATCAGCTCCCAATGCGACCAGTTATGTAAGTGTATTTATGTAAGTGCGTTTGTATGTGTATGTTTGGGGGTCTGAAATGGACTAATCTAATTCACAGTATTCCTTATGGGAACAAATTCGTTCAGTGCTGACACCTGAACATACTTCTGGAATGAAATAATATCGTAAACCGGGGTCCACTGTATACATGTACACAATAATGATAGTAGTAGGTTGGTAGACAGCAACCACCCAGGGAAGTACTACTGTCCTGCCAGATGACTGTGAAACAGAAACCTGTAACTGTTTTGCATGATGGTAGGATTGCTGGTTTCTTTTGTCCATGGGGAAGTGGAAAAGAATCTTTCCTCCGTAAGCCATGCGTGTCGTATGAGGCGACTAAAATGCCGGGAGCAATGGGCTAGTAACCCCTTCTCCTGTAGACATTTACTAAAAAAGAGAAGAAGAAAAACTTTATAAAACTGGGATGCTTGAATGTGTGTGGATGTAGTGCGGATGACAAGAAACAGATGATTGCTGATGTTATGAATGAAAAGAAGTTGGATGTCCTGGCCCTAAGGCCTAAGCGAAACAAAGCTGAAGGGGGTAGGGGAGTTTCGGTGGGGGGAAATAAATGGGATTAAATCTGGGGTATCTGAGAGAGTTAGAGCAAAGGAAGGGGTAGCAGTAATGTTGAAGGATCAGTTATGGAAGGAGAAAAGAGAATATGAATGTGTAAATTCAAGAATTATGTGGATTAAAGTAAAGGTTGGATGCGAAAAGTGGGTCATAATAAGCGTGTATGCACCTGGAGAAGAGAGGAATGTAGAGGAGAGAGAGAGATTTTGGGAGATGTTAAGTGAATGTATAGGAGCCTTTGAACCAAGTGAGAGAGTAATTGTGGTAGGGGACCTGAATGCTAAAGTAGGAAAAACTTTTAGAGAGGGTGTGGTAGGTAAGTTTGGGGTGCCAGGTGTAAATGATAATGGGAGCCCTTTGATTAAACTTTGTATAGAAAGGGGTTTAGTTATAGGTAATACATATTTTAAGAAAAAAGAGGATAAATAAGTATACAAGATATGATGTAGAGCGAAATGACAGTAGTTTGTTGGATTATGTATTGGTAGATAAAAGACTGTTGAGTAGACTTCAGGATGTACATGTTTATAGAGGGGTCACAGATATATCAGATCACTTTCTAGTTGTAGCTACACTGAGAGTAAAAGGTAGATGGGATACAAGGAGAATAGAAGCATCAGGGAAGAGAGAGGTGAAGGTTTATAAACTAAAAGAGGAGCAGTTAGGGTAAGATATGAAAAAGCTATTGGAGGATAGATGGGCTAATGAGAGCATAGGCAATGGGGTCGAAGAGGTATGGGGTAGGTTTAAAATGTTGTGTTAGAGTGTTCAGCAGAAGTTTGTGGTTACAGGAAAGTGGGTGCAGAAGGGAAGAGGAGTGATTGGTGGAATGATGATGTAAAGAGAGTAGTAAGGGAGAAAAAGTTAGCATATGAGAAGTTTTTACAAAGTAGAAGTGATGCAAGGAGGGAAGAGTATATGGAGAAAAAGAGAGAGGTTAAGAGAGTGGTGAAGCAATGTAAAAAGAGAGCAAATGAGAAAGTGGGCGAGATGTTATCAACAAATTTTGTTGAAAAATAAGAAAAAGTTTTGGAGTGAGATTAACAAGTTAAGGAAGCCTAGAGAACAAATGGATTTGTCAGTTAAAAATAGGAGAAGAGAGTTATTAATGGAGAGTTAGAGGTATTGGGAAGATGGAGGGAATATTTTGAGGAATTGTTAAATGTTGATGAAGATAGGGAAGCTGTTGATTTCGTGTATAGGGCAAGGAAGAATAACTTTCTTGTAGGAGTGAGGAAGAGCCAGTTGTGAGTGTGGGGGAAGTTCGTGAGGCAGTAGGTAAAATGAAAGGGGGTTAAGGCAGCCGGATTGATGGGATAAAGATAGAAATGTTAAAAGCAGGTGGGGATATAGTTTTGGAGTGGTTGGTGCAATTATTTAATAAATGTATGGATGAGGGTAAGGTACCTAGGGATTGGCAGAGAGCATGCATAGTTCCTTTGTATAAAGGCAAAGGGGACAAAAGAGAGTGCAAAAATTATAGGGAGATAAGTCTGTTGAGTATACCTGGTAAAGTGTATGGTAGAGTTATTATTGAAAGAATTAAGAGTAAGACGGAGAATAGGATAGCAGATGAACAAGGAGGCTTTAGGAAAGGTAGGGGTGTGTGGACCAGGTGTTTACAGTGAAACATATAAGTGAACAGTATTTAGATAAGGCTAAAGAGGTCTTTGTGGCATTTATGGATTTGGAAAAGGTGTATGACAGGGTAGATAGGGGGGTCAATGTGGCAGATGATGCAGGTGTATGGTATAGGAGGTAGGTTACTGAAAGCAGTGAAGAGTTTTTACGAGGATAGTGAGGCTCAAGTTAGAGTATGTAGGAAAGAGGGAAATTATTTCCCAGTAAAAGTAGGCCTTAGACAAGGATGTGTGATGTCACTGTGGTTGTTTAATATATTTATAGATGGGGTTGTAAGAGAAGTAAATGCAAGGGTCTTGGCAAGAGGTGTGGAGTTAAAAGATAAAGAATCACACATAAAGTGGGAGTTGTCACAGTTGCTCTTTGCTGATGACACTGTGCTCTTGGGAGATTCTGAAGATAAGTTGCAGAGATTGGTGGATGAATTTGGTAGGGTATGTAAAAGAAGAAAATTAAAAGTGAATACAGGAAAGAGTAAGGTTATGAGGATAACAAAAAGATTAGGTGATGAAAGATTGGATATCAGATTGGAGGGAGAGAGTATGGAGGAGGTGAACGTATTCAGATATTTGGGAGTGGATGTGTCAGCGGATGGGTCAATGAAAGATGAGGTGAATCATAGAATTGATGAGGGGAAAAGGGTGAGTGGTGCACTTAGGAGTCTGTGGAGACAAAGAACTTTGTCCTTGGAGGCAAAGAGGGGAATGTATGAGAGTATAGTTTTACCAACGCTCTTATATGGGTGTGAAGCATGGGTGATGAATGTTGCAGCGAGGAGAAGGATGGAGGCAGTGGAGATGTCATGTCTGAGGGCAATGTGTGGTGTGAATATAATGCAGAGAATTCATAGTTTGGAAGTTAGGAGGAGGTGCGGGATTACCAAAACTGTTGTCCAGAGGGCTGAGGAAGGGTTGTTGAGGTGGTTCGGACATGTAGAGAGAATGGAGCGAAACAGAGTGACTTCAAGAGTGTATCAGTCTGTAGTGGAAGGAAGGCGGGGTAGGGGTCGGCCTAGGAAAGGTTGGAGGGAGGGGGTAAAGGAGGTTTTGTGTGCGAGGGGCTTGGACTTCCAGCAGGCATGCATGAGCGTGTTTGATAGTAGTGAATGGAGACAAATGGTTTTTAATACTTGACGTGCTGTTGGAGTGTGAGCAAAGTAACATTTATGAAGGGGTTCAGGGAAACCGGCAGGCCGGACTTGAGTCCTGGAGATGGGAAGTACAGTGCCTGCACTCTGAAGGAGGGGTGTTAATGTTGCAGTTTAAAAACTGTAGTGTAAAGCACCCTTCTGGCAAGACAGTGATGGAGTGAATGATGGTGAAAGTTTTTCTTTTTCGGGCCACCCTGCCTTGGTGGGAATCGTCCAGTGTGATAATAAAAAAAAAAAAAAATAATAATGATATACACAATACAGAAGATTCTCAATGTGTCTGTAGGACAAGGACTTACTGTACTAAAAATAAGACATTTTTTTGGGTTTTAAAATATATTAATTTTGCAGTAAAGTGCCTTATCTTATTAATTTTAATGGATTTTCTATAGTTTATAAAATAAATACAAGTGTGAAGGGTTATTTTCATACCAATCAGCAATCAGAAATAAGAATCTCTGGCACTCAGAAACAACAAGAATGTCCAGCAATCAGAAATAACAAGAACACCTGACATTCAGAAATAACAAGAATGTCCAACAATCAGAAATAATAAGAACGTCCAACAATCAGAAATAATAAGAACGTCCAACAATCAGAAATAATAAGAACGTCCAACAATCAGAAATAAGAAGAATGCTCGACAATTACAAATAACAAGAACGTCCAGCAATCAGAAATAACAAGAACAATGTAAACAAAACACTTACAACATGAGCCTCCTTGTAAATCTGGGCCTCGGTACATGCCATCTCTACCAACTGGTCGACCCCATACTGGTTCAGTGGCGTACCTGCGGTGGTGCAAATTATCAAACTTAACATTCAAATGAAAGCATAAATGATGTTTTTTTTTTTCCATTTGAGTAAAAATGTAAATTGAAAATGACTTTTCTGCTATTTGAATAAATGTAAATTGAAAACCAACTTTTTTTTGCTATTCAAATTAAATTGTAAAGTGAAATTTAACTTTTTTTTACCATTCGAATAGAAATGCAAATCCAAAACAAACAGAAATGTAAATCAAAGACAACCTGTTTTACCATTCAAATAAAAATGTAAATCCAAGACAATGGAAACAAACACATATGCAGTTTAATGTGATCCTTTATTGACAATGTTTCGCCCACACAATGGGCTTTTTCAAGTCACAAACAGATCTACCTGGGGTGGAAGGTACGTGACTATAAATACTCCCGTACCTTCGTCCCCAGGTAGATCTGTTTGTGACTTGAAAAAGCCCACTGTGTGGGCGAAACGTTGTCAATAAAGGATCACATTAAACTGCATATGTGTTTATGTTTCCATTGTGTCGGTATTTTATACCATTTATTTTCAAATCCAAGACAACTTTTTTTTTTACCATTCAAAAAAAAAAATAAATAAATCCAAGACGACTTATTTTATTAAAACACTTTCAAAAGAAAAACTACCGGTGATTATACCCATACAAGTACACTTCAATAATAATAATATAACCAAGTTAAGCACTAAACCCAAAAGGATCACACACCAACACAGTTCAATTAGCCCTCAATACAATGAACTAGCAGGGAGTAATTGTCCGAGTCTCCGATATATCAGAAAAATGCTCAAAAACACTCTCGACTGTATACCTTATGTACTATACACACAGTTTATAGTTATACTGCAATCAATATGGAAAATAAAGAGGGGTGCCGGTACAGGTGGTCCTCAGCTTACAATGGGGCTACGTTCCAACTAACTCATCTTAATGGAAACAAACACATATGCAGTTTAATGTGATCCTTTATTGACAACGTTTCGCCCACACAGTGGGCATTTTCAAGTCACACACAGATCTAACTCATCCTAAGTTGAAAATATCATGAATTGTAAATATTTTAGGTTCAAAATGTCGTGACTTGTAAACATCGTAAGTTGTAAATATCGTAAGTTGACAATGATATGATAAATATATAAATAACTACCGTCACTGAATAAATAACCTGCACACAATAATGATACTTTATTTCAGCGTGAAGCAATGTTTGTACAGAGATGAGTGACATTTATCTGTGCGTGCAGAAAGTCCACAGTTATGCGGAGCATTTCAGGCAAAATATCATAAGTTGAACAATCATAAAGTCAAAATATTGTAAGTCAAACCATTGTAAAGTCAAACCTGAAAGCGAGGATCACCTATGACAACGTTGTCGTAATTTTCCTTCACTTTTGTCTATGTAGTGTAAAACATGACCCCAAAAAATCACTGGCAGAGCCTTAAGTAATCATCCCGATGACGGCACTTTCCAGGCCCAAAAAAATTGACCAAAACCGCGACATTTGCCATGCTCCTAAGACATTTCTTCAAAATTTTAATTACCAAAACAATGTTCTATTAAAAATTTAATAGAAGGTGCCATTTTATTAATTAATAATTAGAGCAGTGCCACTTTTTTTGAGCGTGCACTATAATTTTAATTCTTACAAAGGCACTGCCCCGAATGTTTTGTAATGCCAAAATTTATTTAAAAAAAAGACATTCGTGTATCAATCAGATATCCCCATGTCACCATTTATCGGTGATGAAGTTCATTGTTCATAGGAAGTACAGTGCCTTCACTCTCAGGTGGGTGAAGATATTTTTTTTCGGCACCCTTGGCAAGACAAAAGTGGTGAATGTATTTCTTCATTTTTTGGTTCACCTTGCCCCAGTGGGAGACAGCAAGGTTTAACCCGTAAAGGTCCAAACGTATATACTGTATAGTTTTTTTAAAAATTTGAAAGTATGTAAAAAAAGTTAAAATTTCTTTTTGTTTTTTTACATTTTAAAATGTGTAAAAAAAACTTTGATCTACTTTTTTTTTTGTTATATTTGAAAATATGTAAAAAAACATGATCTATTTTTGTAGCATAAATGTGAACGTAGATTGCTTGGACCGTTTTGGGTTAAAAAAAAAGAATTCGTGTATTCAAAAAGCTTCAGAAAAAAGATAACAACCTTCCACCTGGCTTACTTTCAGGACCCCAAAGAAATAAGGCCCCAATGGAAATAATCATTTTGTCTGACTTTTTGGGTTATCCTAGGTTCTCTAAAATATGCGTATGTATGAAAATTTTTAGAAATGTATTTGTGTTACCTGAATAAATTTATTACTTACTTATTAAACTTGTATTAAGGTCAGTCAAACCCAAAAAAACAAAATTAGTTAAAGAAAGCCAATTTGCTTCGTTACTGTCCCAAATAAATACAGTAAATTTTGTTTTTTAAAATTTTTTACACAGACTTAATTATATTTTTTCTCCAGAATACCTAAAATCATGAGATTATCTTGGTTTTACTAACCTCCACGGGGGGGATAGAATCCACGATCAGAGAGTCTCAAAATCCAGCCGTGCGTTGGGGCCTATGAAACCCTTCCTATGGTGAGAATTTCCTAGCTGGAAAATTTATTGGGCTGCTGGCCCCATTAATGCGACGGTCTGGAGTTTTGAGATTTTGGCGGGTTTTCCCCCACCCTGGTATGGTTTTTTTGAAATCGCTTTTCATTAGTTTTTTGTATTTTGGGGTTTCTACTGTCCCCAGTTTCAAACCTAAATGGGGATGATATCTCATTTTTTACTAGCCCTTTATATATATTTTTTAGTCTTCAGTTATGTCTATGTATTTAAAAACCCAAAGGGATGGCAAAACTTTATGAAACAATAAAAAAAAAAGCAAAAACTCGGGGGGGGCAGTGCAACATGCCCCAAATAAAAAGCAAGGTGCCAAGAGTAGCTATGAGACAAACAAGAAGGTAGGGGGCCAAGACTGTTAACTGCCCCAGCAAAATAAAGGGGATTTTTTTTTTCAAAAGACCCCCGGTTTTTCCAAAATCCCCGGTTGTCTTAAGGGGAGCTGGACAGAAAATCGTACCCCATAGGCGGGCTGTGGTTCCCAGTTGGTTTTTAATGCAACGCAGAAAAAACCTCTTGATCATCCCTGATCTAAACCCGACTTGGTCATGGACCCTGCCCAATGGGGGGCATAAAATTTCCTAAACCCAAATTAAATTAAAGCTAACCCAATTTAAAATAGCTAAAAATAAAACCCAAAAAAGATAACCTTCTAAAAATAACCTAACAAAACCAAAAATTACCTAAACCCACCTAAATCTAAACAAATTACTTTGTTATTGGGAGAAATAAAAATCGACACGTCTCGTTTAAACTGTTTACCTGGAGAGGGTTTCGGGGTCGACCCCCGGCCCCGGTTTGTGATCAGGCCCGGGGCTGGATCAAGGGAAGTTTATTAGGGTTTCATAAATACAGTATACATAAAAACCAGTTCATGAGTGTTGTATGCAAAGTCATGGAGAAAAATTTTCAGGAGGGAGAGGGGCAGCACCCGGAAGGGAACAAAAGATAAACGCCAACCCGTTTTGGTTTTAGAAGGCAAATCCGTGTCACAACCCCACGGAATTTTATGATAAAATAACAGAAGTAAGGCACGAGAGGGGGGTGGGTTGTTGCATCTTCTTAGACTGCAAGAAGGCTTCGACCAGTAACTACCAGGAGATTGGTGCAGAAGCTAGAGGATCAGGTGCGTATAACAGGAAGGGCGCTGCAATGGATCAGACAAAAACCTGACTGGAAGGTAACAACGAGTCATGGTACATGATGAGGTATCAAAGTGGGCACCTGTGATGAGCGGGGTCCACAGGGGTCGGTCTTAGGACCAGTGCTATTTTGGTATATATGAACGACATGATGGAAGGGTTAGACTCAAAGTGTCCTTGTTTTTAGATGATGTGAAGTTAATGAGGAGAATTAAAATCAGACAGGACTACAAAGAGACCTGGACAGGCTGGACACAGAGCCCAGCAACTGGCTTCTCGAATTTATCCCGCCAAATGCAAAGTCATGAAGATTGGGGAAGGGCAAAGAATACCGCAGATGGAGTATAGGCTAGGTGGCCAAAGACTGCAAACCTCGCTCAAGGAGAAAGATCTTGGGGTGAGTATAACACCGAGCACTCCTGAGGCACACATCAACAGATAACCTGCTGCATATGGGCGCCTGGCAAACCTGAGAGCAGCGTTTCGATACCTTAGTAAGGAATCATTCAAGACACTGTACTGGAGTATGCAGCACCTATTTGGAACCCACACTTGAGAAAGAATGTCAAGAATTAGAGAAAGTGCAAAGGTTTGTGAAAAGGTTAAGGGAAATTGGCCTAGGACACTGGAGGACGGAGGGTTAGGAGAGACATGATAACGACATACAAAATACTGCGTGGAACAGACAGGTGGACAGAGACAGGATGTTCCAGAGATGGGACACAGCAACAAGAGGTCACAATTGGAAGATGAAGACTCAGATGAGTCAAAGGGATGTTAGGAAGTATTTCTTCAGTCATAGAGTTGTCAGGAAGTGGAATAGCCCAGGGAAAGGGAATGTAGTGGAGGCAGGAACCATACATAGCTTTAAGGTGAGGTATGATAAAGCTCATGGAGCAGGGAGAGAGAGAGGACCTAGTAGCAATCAGTGAAGAGGCAGGGCCAGGAGCTGAGTCTCGACCCCTGCAACCACAATCGAAATACAGTTACACATTGTATTTATACACAGCAGCATATGTGTAGAGAACCTACAATAACCCAAGTCAGACAGAGTGACTTATTTCCATTGGGGTCTTTTCGTTACCTTATCAATAATATTACATTAATATAAAAAATAAAATGTTGCAGATAAAAATTATACAAAAATGACACATAAAACAAATTATATAAAATATTGAATAAAAGATGATAAAGATAGAATGAGTAGATCACAAGAATTATGATAATATAAA